CAGGAGAATATCTGTTTAATGTTGTATGAATCAATTGACACATTGTGCATGTTCCATTGAAGAGGTCAGAAAGCAAATCTTGGCGGGGTCCAAAATGTGTTAGATATGTACCGTAACAAGCATTTGAAGAAAAAGAAAAGATTAGGGACATTATATTGAACATAAACAGTTGGGCTATTTATTTGGTACATGATAAACCAAGGGGTTTGGAGGCAATCACCTCTTTGGTCTACTGTGATTTTTTTTCCCTTTGGTTATTATGGTGGATAGTAATAAAGCATTTAAAACCATGATTGTAATCGACCATAGTCTTCCAAAACATAGCAGTCTACAATATTCATGTTCTAGACCTACAATGTTCATGTTATGTTCTAGACCTGCAATTTTAATGTTCTAAACCTGCAATGTTCTTGTTCTAGAAAACCTACAATGTTCATGTTCCAAACCACCTACAATGTTCATGTTCTAGACCACCTACAATGTTCATGTTCTAGACCACCTAACATGTTCATGTTCTGTACCACCTAACATGTTCATGTTCTAGATCTACAATGTTCATGTTCTGGACCTACAATGTTCATGTTCCAGACCAGCAAAATTCATGTTCTAGACCTACAATTTTTATGTTCTACCTACATTACAGTGTTCATGTTCTATACCTACAGTGTTCCATGTTTTCAAGACCTACAATGTTCATGTTCTAGGCCTACCACATGTGCAGATTTAGGGGGTGGGGAGGGGGGGGGGGGGGGGGCGCACCAGCGACACGCCCCCCCCCCTTATATCACAAATTTTTTTTTTTTAACGAATTTTGGATATTAGTTTTACTTTTTGCTGATTTTGTGATTTTTATGTTTAATGTTGCTGAGAAACTTCATTGTGTGTGTGAAATTTCTCTTTTGAAATGGTATACATTTATGAGCCTTTGCATGTTGGCAAAAAGTGATGGTGCCAAAGGGGGGGGGGAGGCTGGCCCCCAGCCAAGTGAGACTCGATTCACTCCACTAACCCCCCTCTTTTTTCTGGCAGGCTGTATCCGCCCATGCCCTCGGTGCTTCGTACCTTGGCTGGTCGTCCATCTTTACTTTGGCCCCCCCCCCCTTTTGCTAAATCCTGTATCCGCCCCTGTAGCATTATTCATAAGTGTCTCTGTTTCTGTGTCTTGAACCTTATTTTAAGTAGTAAAGAAGCACATACTTTTCTCTGAAAAAAGGATATCGGATCAAATTTTGCTTTAGTCGGGTCTATCTGATTTGAGGAAGTCTGTCCGACTGATGGCAAGTTATTTTCAACCGAATTGCTCTCCACGACAAATATCGTTGTAGTGTATTGCTGCCCTGTTAACTCTGTGTTCTACTCAGTAATTTTTTTTTTTCATGTAACATATATTGATAATACCTGTCTAGGTTTGTTAAAAACGTAATGAGGATATTAACACCTATTAATTCTTCCTGCTCCATTTTTTTACTGGTGCAATGAAAATTATTAGTATACAAAATGAATAAACACAACATTATTAGTGGATACTACAAAGTCATCAAAAAAGATAAATGTTTTTATTAAAACAGAGATTCAGATCTGAAGCAACACATTAATGAAGTTGAACTAGAAAGGTGATATGTTAACTTAATAGTTCAAAATGTAATTGACACCAATAATAATGCGTAAAAAGAGATTAATTTAGACATCCAAGTTATGTTTTTTATATCATCAGTAATTTAATCGGTGCTTGCCTTCTATTGCATCCTATGCTTTAATTGACTTACTAATGAAAATGCTAAGACATTAAACATCATTATTAAGAAAGCATGAGGAATAGGCAGCTCAGTGTGGCACTATGTAATGATGCCGTGAATACAGAAATTAGAATACTCAATCAGGATATTGTTTTATCTTCATAACTCTGTAATACTGGACATTTGGTAGGCTAAGTAACCTACATATTATTGGGGCAAGTAGTTAAGCATGGTTTCCGTAAATATCGCTACACGCTATGGCCAACTCCCTTGGTGACGCTGATTGGTCAGTTGAATGAGGGAGCATTCCCGAGTGTGTTGGGGACGGTTACGCAGTGCAAGGATTGCAGCGAAAACGCTGTAGGGACTCTATGGAAACCAGGCTTCACAGAAATATATTTGTCATTGAATTCCTCAATTTTTTTTTTTTTTTTTTTTGGAAATTGCAATTGATTTAAGTAAATGACTAAACATAAATTGAAATATTTTTCGAAAGTCAGACAGTTTGAAAATTACACAAAACATGTATAAAATAGAAAAATTGCCAAGATTAAATTTTCAGCAAGAATTACAATTTGTAAATATGATATATTCTTTATTAGGTGGTATTCATATCCAGCTGTGGTGCCAGCAGGGGAGACATGGTGGGCATTTCCACCCCCCTCCCCCAGACACGTCTGGACCCCCTGACGACTGTAGGTCATCAGATCGAAAATTTTTAAAATATCTAATTTTTCTTTCCAAATAATGTTATTTTGATTGCCAATCCGGGTATTGATAAACCCTGCAAACCTTAAAAAACAAAGTGCAAACCCCATCCAAACCCTGTCATAGTGATTGAATAACATAGTATAGGACTCGCTTGGTATCTCAAAATAAAAATCTCTTAATTTTCTGTTCATAACAACCTATTTTTGGGGTAAAATCTTGATTTTATACTCAAAATACCTAAAAATACACCGCAAGCCTCCAAAAACACACCACAAGCCTCCAAAAACACACCGCAAACCAAATCCAAACCTTGTGATAGTGATTGAATCACGAAGTATAGGACTCAATTGGTATCTCAGTAAAAAAAAAAATCATAATGTTATGTTCGTAAGAACCTATTTTTGGTGTAAAAAGGCCATTTTTTGTATTAAAAAATTGCTAAACCCTGCAACCCCCCCCCCCCCCAACACAGTGCAAACTCCATCTAAACCCTGTAATAGTGATTGAATCATGTAGTATAGGACTCAAACTGGTATCTTAATAAAAAAAAAAATCATAATTTTATGTTCGCAACAACCTATCTTTGGGGTAAAAATGCCATTTTTTGTATTTAAAAAATTGCTAAACCTTGTAAACTCCCCAAAACACAGTGCAAACCCCATCCAACCCTGTGATAGTGATTGAATTACATAGTATAGGACTTAACTTGATGTCTCAATAAAAAAAATATATACATATATAAATTTTATGTTCATAACAACCTATTTTTTGGGTAAAAAGGCCATTTTTTGTATAAAAAAATTGATAAACCCTGCAAACCTACAAATACACAGTGCAAACCGCATCTAAACCCTGTGATAGTGATTCAATAACATAGTATAGGACTCACTTGGTATCATAATTTTATGTTCATAACCTATTTTATTAGTAAAATCTTGATTTATTGTTAAAAATACCTAGAAACACACCGCAAACCTCGAAAAACACACTGCAATCCCCATCCAAATCTTGTGATAGTGATTGAATCACGTAGTATGACTCATTTGGTATCTCAATAAAAAAAAATCAGATTTTATGTTCATAACAACTTATTTTTGAGGTAAAATCTTGATTTGTTAAAAATACCTAAAAACACAGTGCAAACCCCATCCAAACCCTGTAATAGTGAATGAATCATGTAGTATAGCACTCAACTTGGTATCTCAATAAAAAAAAAATCATATGTGATTGAATCACGTAGTATAGGACTCACTTGGTATCTCAATAAAAAAAATCATAATTTTATGTTTGTAACAACCTATTTTTTGGTTACAAAAAATGATCCCATCACTATCACTATTAGTACTGTGCTTGCGGTGTGTTTTTGGAGATTTGCGGTGTATATTTTGGTATTTTTAACAACAAATCAAGGTTTTACCCCAAAAATAGGTTGTTATAAACATATATTTATTAAAATTTTTATTGAGATATCAAGTGAATCCTATACTAAGTGATATGATTCAATCACTATCATAGGGTTAGTATTGTGCTTGGGTCATCAAAAGCTGGAGATTTTTTTTTAGTCTTACCAAAAAATCTGGAGGTTTCCAGAATTAACCAAACGATGATGCAAGATACTAAAAAAGAATGCGTCAAGACAAATCATTGGCTGTTAGTGGCGACATTCAAATCGAAAACGGCTGCTTGTTTATCGCTTCACGAAGCAAGTAGGTGGCGGATGGGGCCTACATTGAATAATAACGATCAAATCAATCAAAATATATGCATAAATCTGGAGTATTTTTCGGGGGATCTGTAAAATCAGTGAAATCAGTAAAAATTACATTCGATTGTGAGAACTGGAGATTTGTTTAAATATCGGGTGACACCCGACAGGATCGGGTGAGTTAGTAGGTCTGCATATGGGTTCTCTTAAATGAAAAAGAATGAAAAACATCTAAATTATATTAATCGTAATAACCAACATTAATATCATTATTCTAAATTATATTTAATATTTACCAAATTGTTACAGAGGTAAATATCAGATAATTAATGTTTCTAATATTGTTTTAAGATGTCTTTCTTCATCTCTTTTGTTATTCTACATTTTAATATAATTAATACCAAATGAGTAGAGGTAAATATCAGGTGATTAATGTATGTTTGTAAAATAAGAATATAAATGTAGGTGATTACTAGTTGTCATAACTAATTACAATTGCTTTGAAAATATTGGAAGATGTCTATTTATGTTGTAACCTCTTGTGACTTAATTGATATGAAGTGTTATGTTCTGATTACCCACCATTATATATGCATATTAACTATTACAATTTGAAGTTCAGGGATTTTTTAGCATAGCCAAACAGAACACTGTGTATAGGATTCTGGTTATCTAATTGGCTAATTATTATGCATGCATATAATTAATTACAAGAAGGAGGCTTTACAACTACTACATAATTGATGATGAAGGCTTTCCTCTTGACCTTTCACACTCCACTGGTAAATCTAGGTCGTGACCTTGACCAAAGGTCAGATCGCTCTTTCATTCAGCAGCAAGGCTAGCACAGTACTGTAGTATTTGAAGGCATAGTTGGTTGGTGTGTATGGCCTACTACGTAGTAGACAGGTCTAGTACAAGGTCTCCAGGCAACAGCAGTATAAAATCCTAGCAAGTTATGGCCCATGCCTATAGACCATCTGAGTAAGACAGCAGTAACATGGACTCTTTACTACACTCAGAGTATTTAACATCCTGTTTTACTACAACACAAGGTAATAGATTGATCTAATTATGCCTGCCAACATCATGCTTTGGTATTCTACACTTGAACTTGAGTCTAACTAGTAGTAATGCATTTTAATAATTTATATTTCCTTTTCAATGAAGAAAAGTAGGCTAGCAATTTAAAATTGATACATAAAAACTTTATTTTATAATTTCTGTTCATTGCATGATATTTTTTTACTCGCATGTAGTTTTAGCTCTTCAATTTATTTTTTTTTTATTATTCAAATTACAGATGGTTTTTTACTCTTTTGTGTATTTAATTAACAAATATAATTCTTTATAATAAGTATTTGCAATTAGTGTGAGAAAATAATTGATGAAAAGTTGTATCTAGATTTAAGAAAAAAAAATAAACATGGATTCCATTTAAAAGTTATTGATCTTTTTATTCTTTAGTGTCATTTACAGTATAAACATGAAAGGTTAATTGAATGATATATTAATATATTAGGCATACATATTTAAGCTGTCATCAAATAAGTAAAACTGTAATTTATGTGTTTAGAAATTGCAATAGAATTTAAAATTGTGGAGATTCTTTGGCAAGTGTATAATGCTGATAATTGTATGGGAAGTTGAGTGGATGAGTTGGAGATATAGGAGTGTAGAGTTGTTTGTTTGCCAAGTGTTTGATTGTTTAGTAGGCAAGTTGTATATTTATTCATGTTCAAGAATCCTTGGTCATTGAAAACAACTGAATACTGTAGGTGGACAGTAGAAGTATAGGATTAGTTGCATGAATCCAATACTCATTAATGAAGTAGCAATTCCTGGCTGTACGTATTATCAGCTTAAAGACTTGAAAGGTAATTTGTGACTGAATATTTAAGGAATGTTTATGGACATTTTTGTCCTTCAGTTGCCATGACTTTTAGAGATTTTAGCTTCTTTGATGCAATGATGACATTGTTGTTTTTAGTATTTTATTAGCAAGGAGCTCATTGGAATAATTTTATTGTATTTTGCTTCTTAAATATATTTCATGACATTAAAACTAGATAAACACTGCATCGTTGATTATAGGCTAAATATGTATACGATTATGTTTTATATATCTTAGCAAAAACATTATTTTAATAGATAACCATATGTACATGATATCTCTAATAATATTATATAATGTACACTTAAGTAGCGATGTCTGGGAGTTCTCCGGGCATGAACCAACAGATTTAAATCATTGAGTTCCACACATGTTGTCAGTCTGTAGAAACAAGACTGGTTAAGATCATTTCTAGCCCAACCCTCTCTGGATCAATTACAAAACAGTGACTTCTCCACACAATTAGCTGCCTATATAGAAAGTTAGAAATACTGAGTTTTAATGATTAGCCAATGAAAGTCTGTCTCTAGCGACATCGTGTATATCCTGTAAATATTGGTAACGAAAGTTCAAGTAGAAATTAGTACAGAGTGAAAAAAAGATACTTTCAAATTTGTCAGAGGGGTCTTGCATACTTTAGGTATGTTTTTTTTTCGATTGGCAGTATTTTTCTCTCTATCAGGAAGTGTTGCATTTTTTTCATGAAGGTTTGGAAGGAAATAAGCAATGCAGGGCAAAGATTAGGCAATTCTCTGATGAAATGATACTCGTACAACTTAAGCTATTAAGCCTTACACCAGACAACGCAATTTGCACCTACGTACAGCTCGGAGGAATTCCCACCAGCTTGGCATCCTAGACAAGAAGTGCAAGAACCCTGGGAGCAGATTTGCCCAAGAGAGGCATGGCTACCCAGAGGTTCCCTGATCAGTTTCCTACCAGTAAAATGACTTCAACAGTTGTGCGGCGTTGTCATTCCTAATCTCCTCTTGTCATACAAACCTTAAGGAGCTGTTCTTAAACTATCCCTTCCTAGGTTGACATTTGTGTGAACTTCGGCTACAGTTTACTTGAGTTCTTTCATATTAATGTTGCCATCTTTAAGATAATTATGTACATGATTATTGAACTTGTTAATACAATCTGGCACTTAATTGTAAAGCTGGGGTTCAGTTCAAATAATTATTATAATATCAAGTTTTGGCAATTTATGTTTATTGGTATTTAGTTGCATTTCTCAAATGCATTTAATACTCTCTTCTCATTACTAGACCTCATTTAAAAATTAAAAACCATGATTATCGTCTCCTTTCTCGTACTGCAGTCCTTGTATGCTGCCGTGACTATGTGCTGGCCATTTTTTGTAATGAAAATAAGCAGTAAACTGAATGGTTTTCATCATATATTTTTAAAAAAGCTGGATGCTTTTTTTTTGTAACTTAATCAGTGGTGTGTCCCGGATTTGGAAAATGGTGAATAGAAATACTACATCCACTGAACTTAAAGTATTTAATTGTCCTTACTGTAACTACAATTGCATAAGACAAAAATGACCTAAACAAGACAACAGAACTAACCCTACATTACAATAATCTTATATTGACAAAATAAATTAATAAACTAGATTTGAACTCGTCACTGAGGACGAGTTAGGTGATCCACCGCACTTTGACCCATGAGGAAGTGTGCGCGGTGCGAATTGAACAATATTTAAATGCAGATAATGGCAAAATACGCTAATTTAGTTTGTTAAAAAAGAATTTGGAGCATTTTAAAAGATTTACTCATGCATACGCGCACCTCGTGACGCACGTGCGCATCTTAATGTCACTGTTGTCTCCTGATATGAGATATATATGTATCAACTTTCATTGACAAACGCCTGTTGGTGAAGGAGTAATGATCATTCATAATATTTATCATATATAAAAATTCAGTTTTTTTTAATTCAGATGGCAATATGGTGACGTCACAATGTCCGATCAGCTATTATGATATATAAAATCACATCCACAGCTCATGTGCTTTCAGAATATGTAATAAAAGTTATGGGTCACCTTTCATCCTAATGGGCTATAACTCATTAAAAAAAAGACATGATATAAAGCATATATTAATTTTGACGCACACGAACGCTCGCGTTATTACGCGCACACAAAAATATAATTACATAACATTTAACCATGACCTGAAGATTATACCCACTAAATATGATTCAGAAATCACGACTGATTAAGGTGATTATAGGGTCATCAAAGGCTGGACGAAAGAAAGATGAGGGGGGTAAGCAAAACCCTATATTTTGACATGATGACGTCATCAAAATGTAAAAAAATGCCACATATATGAAAGAGAATTGCCTCAGCTACAACATGCTCAAAGTTGGAAGACAATCGATCAAGAATAAGCGAGATACGCTCAAATGCGCATTTGCTAAAATTAGGTCATCGATAATATTCAGTTTGTTGAATTATTCAGATGGCAACATGATGACGTCATAATGTCTGATCAGCCATTATGACCTATAAAATCATATTTACAACTCATGTGCTTTCAGAATATGTAATAAAAATTGGGGGTCACCTTTCATCCTAAAGAGCTGTAACTGTATAAAATTAGGCCTGATTTTAGCAAAATTTCACTGTATATCGGCACTAATGCGCTCAAAGGTCACTATGTTTTGATGCGTGTGTACGGCATTGTTATTGGCCATAGAGTGATTGAAAAGATTGGAAACTTGTCAAAACAATGTCAGGAACCCAAAATGTGACAAAAAAATTAATTTCTAGCTTCCATACGTGCTGCGCGCGTAAAAATGCGCAAGCGTAGTGGTAAATTTCCCAAAATTTTTTGAAATGCTCAAAATGGCGTGAAACGTGCTCTAATTTAATCTAAATGTGATTTCGAGCATTTAAAAAGTTTGACGCACGTGTACGCGCACGTTATGACGCGCTCGCGTAAAATTAGGGTAAATTACATTTAACTTTGACTTAATGCTCAATTAATCATTTTCGAAATGGCAATTGGTGAGGCTGATATGATCGATAATGTAAAAACGCAAAATTGCGCATAGATCACGCATAACTGCGCACTTTGAAAACCTTATTGTGACTATTCCAGGCCAAGCTAAATGTTTGTTGAAGCGTGCATGTATGAATCTCGTGCCAATTTTTAGATATCGTGCTAACAAGAAATGGGGAAAAAAAAAAGATCTCTGACAATAACAAGAGGTGATCCGCTAGCGGAGCAGATCATCAAAAAACAAAACAAAAAATCCAAATTGACAAAGATGACAAAATCTTATAGAGTACTACAGTGTTACTTCACGATACCATGTGATACTTTTTGTGATGTGATGCGAGCTTTTTGTGTTTTTAGTGAATTTTGATGGTAAATTATTAGGTTTTTAAAATGCCTATTCCAGAAAGCCTATTCTAAACGGTAACCAATGTCCAGAGGGCGCCATTTTGTGTGGTGATGGCACGACTGTGGTACTCTATAGGACTGATATTATTAAGAAGTTACCAGTATGTTTATTCCCTGTAACTTGCAAAGTATATCACAATATTCACCACTTACATAAATAAAACTATATTACAGTTTCAATTGTAATATGGGATAGAATATAGATCTTAACTAGTCCTTTACTTCACCCTGTAGTTTAGTCCTACCAGCAATTGAATTCCAATTTTGGATCTTCAACAATCTGACAATGCAGATGGAACATTATGTACATAAAAGTTCAATATCACAATAATGATGATAAATTTCATTGATTTATGATGTACAATATTTAAAAATATTGCCATCTAGTATATTTCTCAAAGGTTCTCTTCCAAAGAATATAAAATATAAAGTATATATATAAAAGGATATAAAATAATTTTAAAGATTCTCACTTTTGGTGGTGTTTTATCTGAATTAAAAAACTGATTTAAAATAAAAACGTCCATTTTATGAAGTTGATTTTACGAATGGTCTTTGAAACCGATGACATCATCATCCACCAATAATTCCTGTAAAAAAGTCCGATTACGCATATTTTACAAAGTGATGATGTGTATTTTTATTAATAAAATCAAGTTGTTTTATTTATTTATTAACAGTTTGATCTTTTCTTCCATTTGTGGTATAATGATCGCTATATTAATGTAATAAACC